TTATTAGGTAGAGTTGATTATGTTATCGACTTTGTCTAATAAGAATTTTAAAACTCAACCGTACAAATATGATCAAAATTTTGGTATGGCAGTAACAACATGACTGTACAATAATTCGTTTATGGTATCTGTCCTTTAGTGTAAATAGAACTAGAGGTTGGACCCGTTGAGAAAATCTCTACTCGGGCATTATTAAATTACCCAGGTTATCCAGGTAAATTATTATATATCATATAGCTCAATTTCTACCCGGGTCCAACCCCTAAATAGAACATCTAGTCTATTGTATTTAAGTTCATATTATTTAGGAACATTCATCCATAATTTTTAGAAACGTTAATTTATAATATTTAAGAATATCTAATCCATAATGTAAACGTTAACCAACTCATAATATTAAAAAATGTTCATCTCACAGATGTGGATTTATTATGTAAAACAAGTTTAATTACACCGTAATAATTTTTCTAAAAGATTATACTAATTATAAAACGATTTAGTCATTTTCAATTATGAATGACTATTAGAATAAATTGAAAAATTGCGCATGACATCCACGAAAATAACATTTCACGCATGAAAATATTAAATTTGCATATAGTTAAAATTCGCCAAACAATTACTATCAATATTATTTCAAATAGAAATATTATTTGTCTTCTTTCAAATCCTCAATTGATTTTTTTAGATCCTTAAGAGTGGGCAGATCGTTAATAAACTTCTTAATTTCATACATATTTTCAATTTGCTTTTTATTGAATCTATTCTCAATTTCATTCAATTCCTCCTTAACTTGTCTAAGAGAAGGCTGTTTTTCGGGGAGTTGAAGAGCTTCAATAAGATTATTTGAAATAAAAGGTTTTCTATAACCTTCCCATTGATCTTTTTGGGTAAAAATTACATGTTCACGGAGTATAACTGTATGGCATTCATAAAAACTTCAAATATAAAGATGTATGAGTAATAGGAATAATGGTTTGTTTTTACACCAATTAAATAACTTACATAACAAATGGAAACCAGTTTTCTTTTCTTCGTTGATGA